GGATACCGGTACCCATCCCTACCCATGACATTACAACTTGATATGAGATTACAACTCTTGGCTGGTTTGGGAACTCACTGGGAGAGTAAGGTTTAGGTATCTCTGCTTAGACAGCTAGCCTTGCAGCTATGCAGCCCATTTGATTAAAAACTTAGGGACTTATAACCATTTCACTATGAAATAACAACTTATTTCATAAAGTACACTTTATGTGCTTTATCTATAACAGCTCTCCTCTTGGGTACGAGATTGTGGATACAAGCAGCAGCAATGAGCTTCCTCTGAAAAGTGGCTGGCCTCTCCCTTAGAGATAGGGTGAGAAGTTCAGTCATCCGGGAGGGAGTAGAGCCGCTGCTCCTCCACATCGAAAGGAGCCAGCTGAGATGGTTCGGGTATCTGACAAGGATGCCTCCTGGGCGCCTCCTGGGTAAAGTGTTCCGGGCATGTCCCACTGGGAGGAGGCCCCGGGGCAGATCTAGGACGCGCTGGCGAGATTATATCTCTCGGCTGGCCGGGGAATGCCTTGGTGTTCCCCCGGACAAGCAGAAGGAGGTGGCTGGGGAGAGGGAGGTGTGGGCTTTTCTGCTTAGGCTGCTGCCCCCGCGACCTGGCCCTGGATAAGCAGAAGAAGATGGATGGATGGACTCTCTTCTGAATCACCTACTGATTATATTCACAGTATTTGTTCACTGAACAAACACTTCTTTAGGGATTTGCTACCTTAGCTTAGCTCATAGTCAACTCGCTAGCAAGATGGCCTCATTTTCCTGCTCAGTTTGGCAGATTTTTAGCTACACTTCGGCCTCCTTTTGTAATAATATAATAAATGTACCATTTTTACAGTTCTGCTCACTGAATTGGAGAATTGGAAAATACTGTAGCTAATCAGGCCCCTGTAGTCAGTTTGGACAAACGTAGTTTAGCCACCATTAGCTTCCCCCCCAAGAGATTGTCCCAAGCAGCCAGGAAAACAGGCTGGCTGGATTACGGTGAGGAGGAAGCATAGTCCTAAACAGAAGCCCCTGGTACACCACCAATCTATTCATGTCTCTAATTGTTTTTGCCCACTAGGAGAATACTTTGGTTATTTGCAATTCTGTTTTGAGTCTTATGAAGTTAGCCATACAGTAAGGATTGTGCAAGGGGCGAGAGCAGGAAAGACTGAATGAAATTACAATTTACATTTTCAGTAATGACATCCGGTTACATCCATCAAAGTTTGCTAAAATTAATAATAATCAGTGTGTGTAACACTTGTCAGTTACCATGGAGTCACTGCCAAAGGTGGGAAGTAATGAAGTACAAATACTTCGTTACTGTATTTAAGTAGAATTTTCAGGTATCTGCACTTTACTTGAGTAGTTTTTTTCTGATAAATTTTTATAATTACTCCCTACATTTTTACACAAATATCTGTACTTTCTACTCCTTGGATTTTCAAAACAGGCTCGTTACATTTGTTTAATGCATCTGAGGGGAGTTATTATTTCAGCATTCAAACCTCAGAGTGATTTGATCCTAAACAGTAACATGTTCATGTGTTAATCACCAGGGGATGATGCATGAAAAGAGATGAAAGAGGCAAAACTGTGTGCCTTAGTCAGTCTCCATCAGCGTAACAAACATCAGCAAACACACAAACTGTTTGTGCGCAGCCTGTCGCACAATGTGTTGCTAGCTAAAGGTCCAGCTGCTGTATTTTAAAGAAAGAACTAACTTCACTCAGAGATGGAAGACGATAAGAAAGATGGGACAGGAAGAAGAGAGCTTAGATTTAAAGGTAAGGGCTGCTCAGTGGAAATGTGAAGCTTACATGTTAGTCCTTAAATCAAATATTGGGC